ATTTTTTATCAGTTATATTGATTAGATTAGACTAGACTGTAATTGTGTATCTAATACATTTTCTATCAGTTGTATTGATTATTTTAGACTCTACAGGTGTTTCTAATAACGTTACTGTCTCTTTAAAGGTGGGCGTGTCCTCCCGTCAATGTGGCCCCGCCCCCTCCCTGACAACCAGCACGCCTCGTGTCCGTCTCCTAGCAACCGTCCCGTCCCTCCGCGCCGCTGCAGGCCGACCCGGACCCGCCGCCTCCCGGACCGTCTATTCCCGGGCAGAACCGTCCGGTGCTTCCATGGAACCGAGCTCAGAGTGAGCCGAGGCGCCGCCATGAACGACCGGTACCACCGGGCGGCCCGGGACGGGTACCTGGACGTGCTGAAGGAGGCCGCCCGGAAGGAGCTGAACGCCCCGGACGAGGACGGGATGACACCGACCTTATGGGCCGCTTACCACGGAAACCTGGAGGCGCTGCGGCTCATCGTGAGCAGAGGGTGAGTCCGGGACCGGGACCGGGACCGGGACCAGTTACCGCAGAGTTTTAATGTGCAGCTGCAGGTCTCCTTAATGTAAAACTTTAAAAACAGAAGCGACATAATTCAGCTTTTATTTCCTGCGTGAGGACACGTTTCCTCTTTATCTCTGCTGTGGAAACAACAACACGGAGTTTAATTTCACTGTTTGAACAATTTTATGAATTCAGGATAAAATGTAGAACAAACAGAAACCTCCAGAGAACCTCCTCAGCTGATTATTTACAGTTATTACAGTTATTTACTGTTTTAAATCTGCATCATTCTTAAAGATAAATATGTAATGGAGCTACATCTCTGTATTCTTTTCTTTTTCTGACATGTGAGTCAAAGGTTTTTACAGAAATCTGTTTTGTCGCTCCTTAAATCAGAAGACAAAACCAAACAATATGTTGTTGTCCTGTTTTTGTTTTTTATAAACAAATGTACAGATCAGACTGTGAGAAGGTCAAAATCATAATAATATATGAGAGAGATGAAAAACTTCTTAGTTTAGTGTTTGTAAGAGCTGCTGGAGAGCAGGTTAGAGCAGGTTTCTTGAGGAAAAAGTACATTTTTGAGAGATATGTAAATAGACAAGGTTTATAGTTGACATTAACCGACACAAATAGACATAAATAATTAGTATAAGACAGTCATTAGAAGATAGATGTCGACATTTAGAGAAGAAAGGACAAATTATAGCTTTAAAAGTCTAAATTATGACATTTACAGGTGATATTATGTAATAAAAAGTCCAAATTATGAGAAAAAAGCCCAAATTATAATGACAACAGTCAGAATTATGACTCATAAAAGTTAAATGATGTGATCAAAAGTCATGTTTACAGACACAAAGTGCAGCAAAATAAATGTGTATTTTGGATGTTATCTTTGCATTTGTCTGAAAGAAGACGTGTTGATAAAGTAAAGTCCCAAAATCTCAAAATCGAGCTTTGTATGAAAAGAAAATTCAGATTTCATCTGTAGACTGTTGTTTTAGGTGAAGGTTCATTAGAAATGAGTGGATTCAGTCAAAAAACAGTCACTTTTCAGGTAATATAAAGAGACAAAAGGTCACCTCATCTCTCCACCAAAGAAAACTGACCAGCACAAATTATTTTATTTTATTTTATTGTTTCAAATAAAAAACTACAAATGAGTTATAGTGGTGAAAGTATTTGATTAAATATCAAAATACTGTCTTTCTTAGTAAGAAGTAGGAGATAAACAACAAGATTATGAAACAAAACGGCAAAATTAAAATTAAAAAAAAGTGCCTATTAAAATAAACCTGTGATAAACAAAAATCTGACTTTCTTAGTAAACATCAGAAGATAAACATCGACATTATGAGACAAAAATGGCAAAAACATGACTTAATACATCAAAACTGTGAGATAAAGAGTCCTGGGTTTGACTTTGTGAGGAAACATTGTGAAGTGAGGAGATAAAAAGTCTAAACTATGAGAAAAATTATAATTAGAAAAAAGAAAAATAATGACTTCTGGTGGTAAAAGTATGTGACATAACGTCAAGATTATGATATTCTCTGTCGACATTAGAAGATAAAATGTTTAGGATACGACTTTCTGAGTATAAATTATGAATTGAAGAAATAAAAAGTCGCCTCATTCTCTCCCACCGAAGCCCATCAGCTTGACAGAGTGAATGTTTTAGATTTTTTACACATTAAGTGAAATAAAGCGGCTCATCTGTGAGCCAATCAGAGCTGCAGGACTTTATACATTCAAACAGCCTGATTACAGAGAAGGTCACGGCCACATGATTAAACTGGTGTTTAATTAATGTCACAGAAGAAACTCTGGTCTGTTAGTCGCAGGTTTAATGAACCGATCAGACTCCGATGCAGCATTTTAATCAAAGATCAGCTTCTGAAGCCGTCGCTGTGTGAAGGTTTGGTTTATGTTCAGGTGAGATCAGCTGCAGGTGGAGGATCAGAGGAGGTTTTCTTCTTCTGTCGAGGTTTTCAGCAGCCGCTTGGTTCAGTTTGGTGTCTGCTGGCTGCAGATTAACAGCAGCTTCGTGTCATTCAGCAGCTTTATTAGGCGAACAGCAGCAAAGGTTGCAGTGATGGATGTGAAGCTGGCTGACAACAACAGGCTGCGTGTTGACATCCACAGAGGCTGCGTGTTGACATCCACAGTGGATGGAACGCTTCATTTTAAACTGATAACCTACAATTTCCATTTTTGTCTGCAGAAATTTGCTCTCAATGACAAACTGAAAGCATCTGTTCAACGTGTGATTTTTTTATTTTTTTAGTCTGCAAAAAAACCATTTCTTCACTGTCATTATGCGTGATTGAATGTAGGTTTATGTGCAGTTTTACCGATTTAAAAATATATTTTCAACTCTACGCAGTGTGCAAAATGTGAAAGGGCTTTCTGAAATGTTTGTGTGCTACTCTTTGTGTGAAACCTGCTTTAGTTTTGCCAGAAGTAGGTCCTAAAATGTCAAAAATAGAAGATAAACAGTCTCATTTTTGACCCTTTGAGGACAAATGATGGAAGAGAAGCACGATTATGAGTTAAAAGGTTCAAATGATTAGATTTAATGTCCACATTTTGACTTTCTGGGGGAAACTTCTGAAATAAAGAAGTATAAAGTCAAAATTATGCAAAAATGGCCAAAATAATTGTTAAAAAATTTCAAATTTATTACTTACAAAGATAAACATCACAATTACCAGAAAAGGGGAAAAATTATAACTTAAGTCAAAATCATAAAATAAGGAAGTTTGACTTTTTTGAGAACAAATTATAAACTGAAGAGATAAATGGTGAAAAAAAAACTACCAGTGTTTCACCCTAAGTGGAGGTCTGTTGAGAATATCGTAGACGTTTGACTCATTTCACTGATGAGGGGAAATGACTTCATACACAACCATCATCCATTTAAAATTTAACTTTTAACAGCATAAAGTGTGTAAAATGTGAAGGACTGTCTGAGATTTCTGTGTACGAGTGTTGATATTTGCCAAATTCAGGAGATAAACTGTCAAAACTATAAGATAAAAAGTCACATTTTTGACTTTCTGAGAAGAAATTACAGACAGATGGACAAAATGATGAGATCAAACGTCCACATTATGACTTTCTGGGGGAAAATTGTGAATTGAAAAAGTCTAAACATTTTTTTTAACCCTCCTATTACCTTCAAATTTACTGACCTCTTTTATCCTTGGGTTCAGTTTGACCCCAGCAATTTAAAACCTCCAGACAATATCATAAACAAAATTGTTACCAACGTTTATGTGTAAATGGCCCTTTAAATAAAACTGGAAAAATTATGTCAGGGACTTATTTAGAGATGTTAAACATTTAATGGGGTCAAATTGACCCTAAAGATAATAGGAGGGTTAAAAAAAAAAAAAGGCAAAAATTATATTAATGAAAAGGCAAAATTTATGAAGAAAAAAATTATATAAGATTAATGTAAGAATTTTGAAAATATGGAGCAAAATGTAGCTTCAAGTCAAAATTATGATGTAAAAAGTCACTTTTGTACTTGAGAAGGAAAAATGATTCACAGACAGAAAAGATGTTGAGTTGAAAAGTGAAAATGACGCCATAAAATGTTTGTTCTGAGGGAAAATAACAAGTAAAAATTCTGTGTAAGAATTATGAATTGAGACGAGACCACTGTGAGATTTTGACTTGAAAGAAATAAAAAGTCAAAATTATGAAAACAGGCCAAAATATAATGAAAACAGTGAAAACAATATTATGTATTATGAAGGAAAAGTGGAAGAGAAAAGTCAAAATTCTGAAATAAAAAGTCAAACTTTTTAACATGATGAGGAAAAAAAAAGATGAATCAGTCATTAAAGAATGAAAATACACTTATTTTATCTGTAGTGTGGATGTTGTGTGTGTGTTTTTTTTAATTGACTGACACATTACATCATCCATTTAAAACTGAACTTTCAACAGCATGAAGTGACGGGCTTTCTGAAGCTTTCGAGTGTTGCTCTAACACATGATTTATTCATTTAAGCTTCCACGTGATTAGTTCAAGGACAGTTGGAGAGTTCAGAACTTGAGGATTCCTTGTGTTTTTTCAGTGTCTGGCTGAGACACGGTGCGACTCTGGTGACTTGTGGGGTTCAGAGGTTTGTTGTGTGTGATGAAGACTCGACGTCAGCTTCATCGTTGATGGTTTCAGTTACTGCTCGAGTGAGTCAAAGTGTGATTCACGCTCCTGCTGCAGCGACACGTCTCCTGCTGCTGGAACTCGATCTGTTTAATCGGCCTCTCGGAGAAACAAACAGAAATCAAACTCGACTCTCTGGAGCCTGAGCCTCAGACTCGGTCGGGCTCGTTGGCGGCTCCGCAGGCGGATCTGAAATCAGGGCTGGTGGGAGGTGGTGACCTGCCGGGTTTGTGGTGTCGCTGGGTGTCGGTGAAAAAGAAGTGTGCGGGTGTGTTGGATTAATAATGCAGACTCACCTCTGTCATGTTTAAACTGCATCGTCTGAATTATTGATCGGCGATCGGCCGTGTGGGAGGAGGATGGATTGAGCAGCTCGTAAACATCGCTCCTGTTGTTGTTGTTGTTGTTGCTGCACTGCATTGTGGGTAGTACTTCACTGGTACTGTAGTCATATTTGCTTGACTGAAGCAGCAGGTGGAAGCATTCAGCTGATCTCACTGCTGGAAGAAAAGGCTGCAACGTACTCGTAGTTATGAAGCAGAAAGTCTGTTCTGTCTGTTGATCTATCAGTGAGTCGTAGTTTCTCTAAACTCCAGGCATGTTCTGGGTGTTTTTGTCACATTTTTCCTCATTGTGGACTCATTTTTTATAAAGTATAAAGCTCTGCACCTCTGTGGAAACAGAACAACCATAAATAGAAATAGACAGAAATATTGTCTCTGCAGTGTGACGCAGTCAGAACGACAGAAATCATACAAAAGAAAAAACAAATTTCTTTGATTATTTGTTTTACAATTTAAAAAAAATAAAAAAAATCTAGAAACATCACGCACAACATATTTCCCAGTGCCCTGAGGTGTCACCAATACTGGGGGGGAATGATGGTGTTACATACGATGAGGAAAATATAGAACAAAGGAGCTACGTCTGCCTCAACCTGTCTGAGCCTGTGTTGATGATGGAGCTCACCTCAAGCACAAAGCTTCACAATTCAAACTTCATTAAAACACATTTTAAAGTAGCTGCAACCGTCCTGACTTTGTTTTAAAGCGTGTCCACAACAAAACAGTGGTTTCTGAACTGTTCAGTCAACTTTGGAGGCACACAGCTCCAATGTAATCAAACCATGTGCTTTCAAGGTTGTACAAGGTTTTCAAGGCCGGGTGGGGGGTGGGGGATTATAAGTTCATCATGTTGTCGGTGCTTTTTTTATTGGTGTTGTTGGTCCTTTGTCTATTTGTACTGAAAAGCCCAACCAGGGGCTGAAAATGATCTTAATACTATACAGTCTAGCCTTTGCCGTCAGTCAGCTGGGATAGACTCCAGCCCCCCGTGACCCCAGTGAGGATTAAGCGGTGTGTAGATAATGGATGGATGTACAGTCTAAATGCAATACATCAGATGTCTTCTATGTAAAGGTGCACGGTCCCTGATCTAATAAATGAATGAAGTGAAATATTCTTTGTCGTTAATAAAATGTGGTGAATGTTAAAGGGGTCAAACTCCAAATGGTTAAATTAGAAACAGAGAAGAAAGCTGTGTGTGAACCCACTAATGTGTCGATTCACTGCTGTCTCCTCCAGAGGTGACCCGGACAGATGTGACATCTGGGGCAACACGCCGCTCCACCTGGCGGCTGCCAACGGCCACCACAACTGCCTTTCCTTCCTGGTGGCCTTCGGTGCCAACGTGTGGACTCTGGACAACGACTACCACACTCCGCTGGACATGGCTGCCAGCAAGTCCCACATGGACTGCGTCCGCTACCTGGACTCCATCGCCGCCAAGCAGATCACCCTCAACCCCAAGCTGGTGGGCAAACTGAAGGACCGGGCGTTTCGGGCCGCAGAGCGCCGCATCAAAGAGTGCGCCAAGCTGCAGAGGAAGCACCGCGAACGCATGGAGCGGAAGTTCATGAAGGAGTCGGCGGTTCTCGACAACATGGACGCCATGAGCCTCTCCAGCTACAACAGCAGCAGCACGCTGAGCCGCAAGTTCAACACCGTCACCTCCAACATGCCATACTCGCAGGTAGATGCAGAAATAATGACCAGCTTTGTTTTACAGCATCTTCATTAACAATGTTACACAGTGCCGAGCAGAACTAAAAGATAAAACCAGATAGATGAGAGTAAGACCAGAGAAGAAAAGGACAGGACGACCCTCTGAACTCAGAGGAAACAGCACGACCACGGATAGAAGGAGGAAAACTAAAGTTATCTTTAGTGCAGCATGATTTAGTTATAATACCGTAAATCATACAAATGAAATTATTTATTATTTATGATACAAAAAGGATAAACATGGAGTCAACATGTACCATCGTCTGTGCCCACGTTTGTCACCAATACTGAAAAACAAATTTAGCTCCACAGACTGAAGATATTTAAGTTTTTGTTCCCATAATTCTCTGCTCTCTGCTCTGTGTAATCAGGTTTAGTTGAAAACTCTCTGAATATTTGTCACGTGAC